GAATTTCATCAATTGCGTCAAACTGAAATATTTAATAAAGTTAGGAAGACTGCAGAGCAGCCGTCGTCTTGTGATGAGAGACCCACGAATCTTTCCAACAGGCACTTTCACACTAAATCAAAATGTTAGAAGACCATACAATGTCATTTTCTTGCGTTTAGCTTTGCATCCCGAAAGGTCTTCTTACTCAGGAGTTACAAATGATATCTTGGCTAATCGGAGACTCATTAACAGGGCCAACCATAGAATTCAATCATAAGAAAGGATGCACGACTACCAACGGCATACGGATTACCAAAGATACACAAAGGAGACGAACCACTAAGGCTGATAGTCAACAACAAGTATGGAGCAACACACAAATTAGCAAAGTTTATATGTTAAAACTCAAGAAATTAAATGAGAGGCTATCAAACACGGTCAAACATTCATATGAATTTTCTCAAAAAATAAAAAACATGGCACTGGAAGGAACAGACTTATTGGTACGTTTCGATGTGGAATCCATGTATACAAACATCTCTGGAGAAAATGCGCTAACGGCCCTTCTGAAGATGCTGGATCCTGGAATCACAACGGATCAGGAGGGAGTCGTTAACAAGACTAATCAACTTGAAAATAAGGAAAACTATTTTACATTCAACATGAACATCTATGAACGAATATTTGACTTCCTATGGGATCACCGCTCTCACCACTTTCGGCAAGCGTATACATGAACAAAATAGGAGAGAACCTAGAATGGCACCGCTACAACCGGCAGTGCTCATAAGGTACCTGGATGATTATTTCGCACTTTGGTCACATGGAAGACAACAACTAAAAGAGTTTCTGGAGTTTGTAAACCAGATTGATGAAAAAATTTAATTCACGATGGAAGTAGAGCAAAATAAGCGGTTAACGTTTCTGGACGTTGAAGTGATTGGCTTTAATGGAACGCTCAAAAAGAAATTGTTAGGAAAGAAGTCCTATGCTGGGATAATATTTAATTTCCGGTCCCATCACAATTACAGGCTAAATATAGGAATAATGAGTAGCATGATCATCCGAAGCCTACGCCTAAAGGATGTAGAATTCTGGGACGAGGAGCTGGACAAATTGACTAGGATCTTCCTCGGCGATGGCTACCCTAGCGAAGTGATACAAAGAAACATATGGGCCGTCAAAAGCCGATAGCAGAACGGAGACTGTAAAAGAATAGAAAAGACGATGAAGGATTGACAAAAGTGGATATGCCTACCTTCCTCCGAACTAACCCAAAAACACTTTTCACAAGTCTACCGACGCAACATGAAAGGGTAGACAAATTGGATTGTTCAGAAGTTTACTGTATATCATGCGGCACTTGAGGAAAGAAATATATTGGCGAAACATGGAGAAAAATTAGCACACGAATTAAGAAACATCAGAGGCTATGCAGGAAAATTGATACCGAAAGATCAAAAGTAGCGAAACACAGCACAGACTGGAAGGCAACAGAAAGAAAGGCTCCATACTATAACTCAGGGAAACGGAAGATTAGGGAGGCCAATGATATGCTTGGGGAAAAAATTTTTAATGAACAGGAGATTGGAGGAAGATAGAGTTAGGGATAATTTTGCCTACTGATTAAGCAAACTCGGGGAAAACAAGAATAGAGCAAGACCAACAAAAAGGAGACGCCTGGATCAAGGATCTATCGCAAACCGGAGGAAAATGTATCGCGATGGGAGGCAGGGGGTTTCGGCAATCAAACGAAGACGTTGTCAGTGAGTGATGTCCGTTTTGTTTTGAGGGCTAATAACGACAACATGGAATTTATCTATAGACGTGTAGACACGGTCCAGAGTCTACCATTTGCATCCGAAAATTTATAAGATTGTGTATGAATTAGCTAGATTGTTTATATTTTTGTTCTGGGAGGTGGTCGGAATAAAATTTAATACACACTTTTAACAATAATCAAGGCATCTTTCAAATTAACACTATACCATGGGCTATACTCCTAATACGCCTGTTCTCAACTTAGAGAATTTCTTTTGTTAAATAATGACAGATATTCGCTTTTGGGTAGTGCCTATCTTATCACATTCAACATGGATGGGCTGAGTGCTCTCTTTTACACAATTACCAGCAAACCTGGCTAAGGAAAGAAACGATCACTGCGATATATGGATTAAGAGTAATGGAAGAAGTGATAAATATACTGCACACACAGACATAAATACTAAGTGGCGAAAATAAGACTAGTAGTATATTATATATAACAGCTATAGTATATATATATTTTTTGTTGCTGTCAGGTCATAATTTTTTTGATTTGCTTTAGCTGCTTTCTACGAGGTATATACATTTAGTGTATTAATAAATGCTTAAATTTGGTTATGAATATAGCTACTCAGAAATGTGGAGATAAGATGAAAGTATGTTTCTTTATTCCTGATGTCCATTAACATTGGTACTCCATTTACTTGCAGATTTTCACTCCATAGGTAATTGGAATGAGGTAAGTAGGTTGAGGGCATCAGCCTCACGTCGGCCGACGGCTCCATGCCGAGCAAATGAGCAGAACATTGATGATGGTCATTAACGAAAACGCACCCTGAAGCCATTGCAGAGGTGGTAATGGGAGTTACAAATGGAAGTGGAGAAGCGGGACTCGAGCTGGAGGCCTCATCGTAACCAGCGAAGAAGGGGCTCTCATCGCGAATGGGCCTGAAGCTATTAGATGAATGCCTGGAGCGAAAGGAATAAGATTTTGATGTTAAATATGCTCAAAAGATATGGCGGCTACGTTGCTTGTGTCGAATGAAAGGTGAGTAAAATAAACGCCCTTAAACGAAATAGGGCGAATAACTTCATATGCATTTCAAAAGGTTTCAGTAGACAGAATGATTAGGTTTAGAAATAATCAACAAGTATGCTATAAAACTAGGGTAGCATTAGGTTACTTTAGAATATCTAGGGCCTGATGGTTGAGTCATCCAAAAGGAAATGAAATGAAAGTCTCATGATCCATTTAAAAGCCACTTAACCTTCAAAAGGCTTTCTCATCCAGGCAAGTCAGAATCTCATTATCATTCCCAAAAGGACCCAAAACCAAATGATGCTTGTTAGGCTACTAAGAGTGCCGGCGGATCACAGGGCAAATGCGACTTTTAAGACAATTCGAATTCATCCTTGTTGGGAATAGTGTCGGTAAGGCAAATTTATATTTGCCATTATAATCGACGACATTGCCGTGCACTTTTCAACACCTACCAAAAAACAAAACTGTATGATAGAGTCTTAGTCAGCTCTTGACAAAC